TATCATATGACATTAATATTTTTGTAATTAATTGGCATATATTTTGGTTTTCAGAAGACAAACCTGAGGATTATGGAAAACAAAAGTGTTGGTCATCATTTGGATGGGGCATTTTTTCCATATTCATCGGCTGGCTTGTGGATTGGTTTAGCATCAATAAGAAGGAAAAAGATTACTCACCAGTTTTTTATTCTTGTATTTTACTCACGATTTGTAATTTATTTGTCGTAAATAAACTCAAGGTAAGTTAATTCCTGATTCTATGCTTAACATTATAATCTATAAACCAATTAATTATTTTTTGAGTACTATAACATTAATTAAAAACATATTATATTTTAATGTAATTTATAGGTAACTGAAACAAAAAAGTCTAAAGGAAAATGGAAGAGTATATATGGGCTGTTTACCAAACATTATGTCGTTGTATTTTTTATATGGGTGGTATCAAATTCATTTCTCCACACAATTATTACACATTTTCTATTCTGGTGAGTTTATAATCGAAGACATATTTATTGAGTATCTATCTATATTTAAAAGTTATTCTCATCGGTGTGTATACAGACAAAATATCACTGACTTGTATAATACGGTATAGTTAACTACAAGCCTTGGTAATTTAATCATAATTTTTAACCGGTAAAGGTAAGTTGGTATACAACATTGTAAAATGTTTAAAGTTGAATGTTACAGTAATTTATTTTCAACTCAGTGAAGTTAAAAATTATATGGAAACTTACATTTAACTTACAACTTTAAATTTAGTTATTTTTTATTTTTTTGTGCACATAAATAGCCCGTAATATGGTTTAGAATAATAAAAAGTAAATGTGTATGCAATATGCATCGTCAATAATAATCTTATTATATTTAATATTTAAAATTTATTTTTATTTATTTCAATATTTGTGAATACAAATAAATTAAGATGCATTAATAATGAAAGAAAATGACGTGAGAACAGATGTAATATTTAGTATCGGGTACAATAATAATTAGTCAATGTCTAGAGCTCAAATACAAATGATTGACTTTCCGTAAAAATAATATGAATTTTATAGGTAGTGAATGTGTATTTTACACTATACTTATACTTATTTCTACTTTAGTTTTTACATAAAATTATTTTCTAAAATATAAATGTTCATCAAACTTCTACTTGAAGAGATTATTATATAATCTATATGTAACACTCGGGTATCCTATCATTTGGCATGACCATTAAGATAATTAATATTACATAATGAGTTATAATAAAGTATCAGTTGTCTAGTGTCTAGACTGTCGACAATATATACTAGGTATTAAGATAGTAGTGTATCATATTAATGCAGTTATTTATTGATGTAACACTTTTAAAACTAACCTAACCTACAGCAAGGATCACTATTTTTAAATTTAAAAAATGTATATCGAATATCATTTAAATGTTAAATTAGCCGACCTCAACAATGTCTAAAAATAAGCATTGGTTTTTTACGCATATTATATAAAAATGTGACAAGAAAACCTGACAGAGGATATAATCTTTGCTCAATAATATTTTTAAACTTTATTTTTATATACAGTTTACAGTCTCTTGCACTCCGCAAAATTTTTATTTCTGAAATCAATTGATAATAAAACAGTTGACTGAATAATTGCTGTCCGTATACATTTTAATTATAAGATATTCGTATACTTATCACATAGGTGTATAAATAAGTAATGATTAATACATGTTAAAAACTATAGCTTTTAAAATGTTTTCGATATATGTCCTACATTTCCCCGAGTATGGTAAAGTTGACGATTAGAGATTTTGAAAAATAATATTTGACCGTAAAGTATAATATAATAATATTGTTTAACTGTTACAACTCATTATTACAACACGACTGTCAATTATTGTTCAGGTACATGGAGGATTTAGTTATGGCAAACAATGACCACAGCCAACGGGCGTGGCTGAAAACGCTCCAAGGTCTGGCTCAAGGCATCCAATGTTTTGGCGGTGAAATACCGTTTTATTTCTGGTCCGGTTGGATAATCAGAAAGATGGGCCACATCAACTGCATGGCTTTGGTGTTGGGAGCCATGGCGATCAGGATGTATCTTTACACGGTCATCTGGAACCCAGCCTGGATCATTGCGATAGAGCTATTGAATGGCGTGTCGTACGCACTGGGAGCGTCGGTGAAAATGTCGTATGCAAAAATTATGTCACCCGAGGACACCACGAACACTGTAATCGGGATAATAGGGCTTTTCGATTGCATTGGTAATAACTATAAAAATTGTTTAACGCTTGAGATTTAATGTTTCTCTGGTAAAACTTTCTTACTATTAAAAATATGAAACTATTTAGAAAGTATCTATTATAGTCAAACCTAGGAAAGTTAATAATGATTTCAATTGAGTTAAGTTGAGTTGATAAAAAATATTTTTTTTAAATTTTAAAGTTAATAGTCTTAATATAAACATAAATATGCGATTTTTACAAATTAACCTTTGTACTTAAGATGTAACTTTAAATTGAGCTGCCATATAAATACATAATAACCAACACGATTTTAAAATGAGATTATTTTTGTTGTAGGTGAATCTTTAGGTAGTCTACTGGGTGGATATCTATTCTATTCATACGGTGGAGTGTGGTCATTTCGATTTTTCGCCTACAGTTCGGCTACGATATGCTTTTTAAACATACTATGCAATCGTATTGGACTGACTAAAGATTTGACAAAATGTAAATTTGTTGCTGTGTCTGTGACGGAAAACAATAAAAACGATGACGTTGATCGCAAACCCTAATTTAATGTTTTTTAATATGTAAATTTAAAAAAAAATTGTAAAAATAAGTTCTGGAATGTTATAAAGCGGAAAATTATAATTACATAATACAATAACCAATACATTTTTGCTTGGTGATTATGTATACTACAACAACGAATAAGGGACCACCAAATAATTGAAAATTGAGTATTGCAAATAAATTGTAGATTTTCTATTTTTACATACAATTTTGTTAGAACAAGAGTTCATGAAAGTATTGATTTTACAATAATGATTGTTTCTTTTACATATCCACGATAACTGATAAGTTGTTGAAATAATGTTTCGATTTTTAACCAGTATAATGTGTAACACTAAAAAAGGTGAAATGTCCTTACCGTCTAAGAAATTAAAAATCGAGCTTTTCAAATAATAAAGAATTATTGTTTTGTGAATATTTAATTGATTTACAAGTTTGTTATGTTAAAAACCACTGAATATTAAATATTGTAAAAAGTTGAATATCATAAGATTGTAAAAAATTAATGTTACTCCGCGTTAATTTTTTTTTTTTTTGTAAAAGATAGAAAAGCTGTAAGGCACTTTTACTAAAATTTCTAATGTTAGTTAAATCGAATACACATATGAATTTCAAGCCATGATTATACTTATAACAAAAAAAATAACATGACCATCACATTGATACTTCCATATCTATTTTGAAGAATTTACCTTTTCAATTAAAAATGATCGTTACTTGCCCAGCTTTTGATAGTATCATATAATTTGTACGACTGTTAGGTTATTGTATTAACTTGAAATCGTTTCGCTTTAGGAACGCCCATTTTAAGCTTCGTTGATGGCTGCATGTTCAACATTATCAGGAGCATTGCAACCTTCAAAATATTAAATGTGCTTGTTCTGATCACGTGTATCGTTCAATTCATACTGTGACAACCATCAATGATATAAACGATCATAATCGAATTGATGTTAGGTACTTTAATTGAAAGATATGGAACAAGTAATATTACAATTATCTTTTAATTACATTTATTTGCAAGCTTGGACATAAAAGTTAATAATAATCTTAATTTATTTTTAACTTAGTTAAGTGAAAAAATATGTGGATACTTACATTAAACTTAGGAACTCAAATTTAGTTATTTATTATTTTTTTGTAAACATAATTAGCCCGTGATATGGTTTAAAACAATAAAAAGTAAATGTGTATGCAATATGCATCATGATAGTAATGTTATTATATTTAATATTTATAAACTAACTTAACTTTAAATTGTTGTCATATATGCACAGAATTTTGTGAATACAACTAGATTCAGGTAGACAGACAACGAAAGAAGAAGAAGTGAAAAAAAATGTTATATTTACCATCAGGTACAATCCTAATTAGTCAATTTGTAGAGCTGCTCAAATTGGTATTGTTATTTTGAAAACTGAACTTTTTAATCCCACTGAGCATTCACTATTAAGTTCTCTAGTGAGCTTCAATGTACAACGATAAACGTAGTAAAACATCATATACCAAAAATGATAGTAAAAAGTACTTACCTAAATGAAAAATTTCAAATTTTTATAATTACTGTATATTACAGTATATTTTTACTTATTCCTACATTAGTTTTTACATAAAATTATTTTCTAAAATATAAATGTGCATCAAACTTCTACTTGTAGAGATTATTTTATAATATATACCTGGCATTCGGGTATCCTATCGTTTGGCATGACCATTAAGATAATTAAATATTACATAATGAGCAATAATATCGTATCAGTTGTCTAGTATCTAGACTCTAGAAACTAAACAAAGTATTAAGATAGTAGTGTATCATATTAATGCAGTTATTTATTAGTTTATCACTTTTCACAAGGCGAGGAACAATATTTTCAAACTAAAAAAATGTATATCGAATATTAATATTTTGTTGAATTCGCTGACTACATCCACATCTACCAAAATGCGTTGTATTAAAACTCATAAACATTGTTGTGACAGGAAAATCTGACAAAGAAAATAATTTTTGTCTTGAACAATATTTTTAAACTTTACTTTCATGTATAGTTTACAGATGCTTGTTTAACACTTATAGCATAACATTTTTCATTTTTACTTTTTAATAAAAAAAATAAAACATTTTAATTCTCACATCAATTTTTTTTTTAAATTCTAAATGGCCAATTTGTAAGTCTGGTTTTTAGAAAGACGTTAATAATAATAATTAAATAATGAAATTGAGTTTAATTTAGTTATATCTTTTGTATTTTAAATGTGCAATAAGTTTGAATAATAATAATGATAATTTTACAAGAGAATAATAATTAAGGTTTATACAACTTAAAGAATATTATTAATTCAGCACATGGCAGATGCACAGTATGATTGCCGGCACACCGAAAATGTGCCTAAATGTATATTAACAGGATTTGTTAAATTTTGTATCATCTCATGTCGAATCGTTTCATAATAAGAAGGTTAAATAAAAGGCAAGGGGCTTGTTGCACGATAGACTTTTCCGTACGAGTGTACGACATAATAATAATACTAATAATTTGTTTTCTTAAGGCCGCCGCAAGACGCATATGTTTTAATTGATCATAAATTAAGTCCGACTACCGAGATAAACTCAAACAAACACTACTAAGAACGTAGCCCCACAGGATCCAAGTACATATTACATATTACGTCGTAACTTTGACCACGGGGTCACCAGGAGAAGAGTGCCTCTATAGCTTCTTTTGCTTATCATTAATATGAAGTACGTACAGAAAAAACATTGCAACGTATTTTAGTTATTTTTAGGAGAGATCAACGAGGGGGTAGCAGAGAGAAAGAAATACAAAACGAGGACTACTACATTTGTATTGCGGGGGACCAACGGACACGTTACAACGAAGACCGACGATGTCTTTAGATGATGATGAGGTTGGTTAGCAGCTTGGCCCGCCACGGATTGCACTTGGCCGAAAAAAAGAAAAAAAAACAAAGTACTGGCGTAAGACTTCCACGAGGTTAAATTATAATAATATAATATAATAATGAATACAGTTTTATATTATAGTATATTATATCAACTACGTTGGAAAATATTAAAATAATTCATCCGACCGCATAGATTAGCTTGGTGATAAAAGATAATGTACACCAATGTACGAAGTTGACTTACACCTCTTTGTTCCACAAACTTTAACAACAAAGATACCATCAAATAATTAAAAATTTTAAATAAATTGCAGACTTTCTATTTTTACATATTATTATTTTAGATTCATAGTTCATAAGTGTATTTATTTTACAATAATGTTTGTTTCTTTTTTTTTTGTATGCTTACACGATAACTGAAAATTATTAGTTGAAATAATGTTTCGATTTGTAACATTTAAGAAGAAGCACTGCCCATACTATTTAAGATATTAAAAATCAAGCTTGACCAACAAATAAAAATTTATTGTATAATGAAAATAAAATTGTGTACCTCTATGCTGTACAAAAGTTGTCGAGTATACCATTGTAATAGATGTGTTGGATTGGAATTTAACATAGATTAAGCATTTCTGATCTAGTGGAAATATGTTTGTCTATTCTGAAAGATACTCCTAGTATTATAAATCACCATTTATATTCGTAAGACCACCCTTTCGGCACACGTGCAATAAATTGTAGTATTATATTTTTGTCTTTTTTTTTTTATCAATTTTCATATTTTATGTATAATCTGAATTTTCTCATTTTTTTTTCTAATGTTCTCATTAATTATACCCAGATGATATTTTGTTATTTTATTTTTTCATAATAATTATAATTATATTTATGTATTTATTTTAAATGTACTATAATTTTATAATTGTATACTCGTAACAAACTTGTAACACCTAAATCGTATCACCTATGTATTTCAATATTGATTATGTATACTCTGTCGTTTAGCAACCCACAAGGTGTATTGGATAAAGCTAAAACAATGTTATTAAGTTCTCACTTGAAGAGATATTATTTAGACTATTTTGTTGAAACTTTTGACCAAGTTTATGAAGTTAATATGATTTTACATAATGTGCATGTACTTCTGCACATAGTGAATGATTATAATAATAACGAAACATTATAATTTTATAATAATATACAAGTTAATATGCAGTTAATTTTCATTTTATTTTATGCTTTGTAAGATTTTTATATTTTATATTTATTTGATATACTTCATACACTATATTTTACAGTTAGATAGTTACATTTTCAGAACAAATTACTTTCATTTAGAATTCATTAATATATTATATTATGTGTCATGTGTGTCTATATGTAAAGAATATAATATTAAGAAAACAATACTAAAAATTTAACAAATAATTTTAAAATTAACTTTAGAACTGCAAGAAGAACTTTATTTAAATGCAATATAAATATATGATATATATTATGAGTTATAACTATTATATACAAATATACAATTTATGTTAGTATTAATTATAAATTTATAATTTATTTAATTTAAGTTTACAAAATGATTCTAAATCGAAAACAGCTAGGTCATCTATACTTCGCGCATCATCGTCAGGTAAATAAAATAATATTTAAAAAATGTTTCAACAAAATATAATTAGATCCAAATATATGTATAAGTTTTTAATTAATATTTTTTCATATAATTTATATGATGATCATAAATCAACTTCACCATACACCTCTTTTCACCAGCTTTTTTGTTTACTTCTGTTCATCAACCATCTACATCTACTCAAACTTACAACTTACAAGCCACCTAACCTTTACTTAACGGTCTAAGTCTTCCATTAGGTAGGTACTCTCCATGACACGTAATATTTATGAAAATACATTTTAAGTCCTAGTTAATATTCTGGTAACTATACCTACCCAAAAATATATAACAAAACATTGCGATTTTATAGGCATATAGTTTTGTTTTCTTTGTAAAATATTAGTATTTACTAATTTGCTGGCCAAAAAATGTTTTCAATATTAAATGTTCTGGCAACGCAAAACCATAAAAAAAAACATTTTTGTTTCTTGAACACTTAGTTATTCGAAAAAAATTAATTCGCTTTATGTACTTAATGTTTATCTTGAATAATAAAACAGAACATAATAATATAATGCTACAAATAGTCGTCCTATGCTTGGCTTTGGCCACGCTGCTGCCCACCGCTAATGCTGCTCCCATGATGATGGTCACCGACGAGCCAACAGTCAACCGAAACTTTCGGCCCTGGCCTCGACGATTGTCACCTGCCAGTCCCACGACGATAGCCACAGACGTGCCAACTGTTAGGTTTCGCGCCTTTCGGATCAAGTCACAGCCATCGTCGCCGGCTATCGCTGTTGTTGATCCCATGGTTATGTCCACCAACGGAAGAACTGTTAACCCTGACTTTCAGCTCAATCAGCCATCGTCGCCTGTCGCCGCTATTACCGCGGATCCCGTGATGATGGCCATCGACGGGCCGAACAATGTTGCCAGGTAAACATTTTTCAAATCCCACGACGAGTACTAAAAATTACCACATCTTAATATAATTTTCCACATAAGAAATTAATATTATTTTCTAAAATTTCATTTTC